CTGAAGTCACACTTTCTAGACCTGGGAGCTTCAGGAAGTAATTTTTTTTTTTTTTTTAGGTTGAAGGGGAGTGGTATCAATAAATATTTTAATTGAGTACTTGTAATATATTATACTACGTTTCTTTTCCTTCATTTTTCAACCTCACATTTAAATTTGAAGACCAAATAACCAGTTGGTTACTGGGAGGAAAGGCCACCCCCACACACAATTGTTGGGGAAATCACGCAATTCTAAAATTGAGTTCATTTGTACCTGTAAAAATCTGTTGAATCAACTTTTGTTTTTCGCTTTCAACAGTCACATTTATGTTTGCTTGTGGGTGATTGTTTCGTATATGTTATTTGTCACGTTGATTTATGTGGATGTTTTTCAGTAAGTTCTTGTAAATAGTGCTTGGAATCTTTCTCTTTGTTCCTCTTGTCTCTTTTTAATTACATTTCAAGTTTTAATAGGTTCGGTTGTTTGGGGGAGGGGGTCACGAAATATTAAAATTGAATTCATTTGTTCTTGTATTAATGTGATGAAAAAAAAATTTTTTTTTAGTTATCACATTGATAGTTGAACACTAAATTATCAGTTAGTGATTGTTTCTTGTATGTTATTTGACTGATATGGATTTTCTTCTCCCAGTTCTTAGGATTGTTCTTTGTTTGTTTCCTTCTCTTTTTAATGACATATTTTCAAGTCTGTGAAGGTTATCTTCCCATTCAATCAAAGGGGCCTCATCTGAAAAAAAGTTGATAAAAAACCCTGGCATAGTCCCGACTACTCTGGGAATCATCATCAGGTGCATTGCCGACCGGTGTGGGCGATCATGCCTCTCTATAATCCACGATCTCCTGCAGCAATTATCACTTCGTGTGCCGACACACCTCCATGCCATGCAACAAGACTGTCAAGAATCTTCTCTCGTTGCCTTCCTCTATCCCTCCTTCCATAGATCTTTCCAGTGGTCACAACATGTTCTATTTTCCATCTTCTCATAACATGGCCGAAAATGATGACTGTCTTCTTCTGATGTCTGTGATAAGTTGTCTTCGGGATCCCGTCTTTTTCAAAACCTCTTAGTTGTTAATTTTGGCTGTCCAAGGTATTCTAAGCATTATTCTGTAAAACCACATCTCTGAGGCCTCCAGAAATTGTTTGGCCTGCCTACAGATTGTCCAGGATTCACTCTGAGAATACAGTTATTTAAAAAAAAAAAAGTGGCTTTTCAAAAAGGACACTGTAGTTTTATATTCATCATCATCAGTCAGAAGGTCTTTACAGGACGTCGCACGCCTGAAAGTCTCTCTGTCTCTAGCCAATTCTGCAGCCTCGTGTGCTTTCATTGCCAATGCATTTGTAAAGTCTGGTATCTGTGTTCACGAAAGTTGACATCTGCTTCATTTTCCCGAAACTGTATCCTCCAAAACGTGTTTTCCCCCAATCCACCATTTAACATTTTCAAAAAACAACGCTCTGACCCCCCCCCCCCCCCCCCCCCCCCCCCCCCCCCCCCCTCCCCCCCCCCCCCACCCCCCCCCCCCCCCCCCCCCCCCCCCCCCCCCCCCCCCCCATGATTTAGGAGTTCATGACTCGTTTCCATAGAAAGTGGCCATCAAAACAGTCATCAGTACAGTATTCAACTGCAATAACCGTCACAACATTTCATGGTGAAGTGATCACGCCGTCTGCCTCACTTACTGACAGTCTTGGGTTCGTACCACTGAAGTGTTGTTCAGATTGCATGGTTTTTACAGACATCCCTGGGATTGTTACTGGAGCTACAAGTTTGTGTAACCTTCTCAGCAGGTGGTTGGTCATTCTAGGAAGAGAGACTGGGTCATTGGAGTTAACCCAGAGTGCAATAAAGCTGATCCTTTCAACTTTAAAACTGTCATTCCATCCCCAGTTGTCTATGTAAGATACCCACATGGCGAGGATTCACTGTAAATGTAATAACTTGGTATGGCCCACAAACTATATTGTAAATATTTGAATGGCTTGAAACAGGAAAGTTTCTCCAGCTCTAGATAACACAGCTGGTCTTACTAGGTGTAAGGAGTCAACATGCTGTCCTTATGCTTTTCACTACAGAAACAAAAAACACTAGACCCAGTGTTGACATCTTTATTCACATAATAGGATACCACATATTATAATAAAACAATAAACGAACAAGCAGCTAGAAAATCAAACTGAGTCTCTGGAAATGTGGACATACAGATGAACAGGTCGTATTTCATGGAAACAATAACAGTTAAAAACAGGGGTCCTGGAGAGGCCGCACATAAAAAGAAAGTTACTGAAAGAATTTAAAAAAGAGAGACAACTGAAATATTTCGGCCACAATAAAAGATATAACACTCTTTCAAAAACTATACCGGAAGGAAACACTGAAGGCAAAACAGCAACAGGTAGACAATAATACAGTTGGAAGAACAACATCAAGAGTTGGACGAACAGCAGTGTGAGAGAGTGACCGAGACACAGCCATCCTTTACTGTGGAGACAGCATGTGACCGACAGACAAAATAATAATCAAGTAAACCAAAGATCATGTACAATCAATGTTACAGAAAAGTCTTGCCACTAAAACAAATATCACGACCAAGTCAACTCAGAATGCATACCACTCGCCTACACAAGACACATCTATCGCACGATGTACTCCATATTATAAGACACACAATCCATCATAACAAATAATATGACATCATACTGTCACCAGATACAACTATACTGTTGAAGAAAAGCAAAGGAAATAGTTTCCCAGTGGTGCTCTCCTGTTTAAAAAAAAAAAAACCGGCAACACTTCTGAAAGGAAAATAATGTTGGCATAATACTGATATAAAAAAATCTCTTTAATTTAATGAGTTCAATATTGAGTTAAGAATCAACATCATAGCACTCGAGACACTTCCATAAGCACTCCGTCTGCATCTTCAGCTTTTTGTGCTCAACAATTTATTGAGTTAATTGTTCAAACTGCACACCCTTAGAGTTCAACTAATAAATTTACAGCTCTTTTGCATCTTGGTCGTTGATAGAATTTGAGGCGCACATGCTCTCCCATTAAATAATAAAAACACGCCATCGGAAAATTATGATTTTTTTTTTAACTGAACAGGAAAGCACTATTTGATTTTTTTTTCTTTTTTTTTTTTCAAACAGGAAAGCGTTATTGGAAATCTGCATGTTTCTTTATTGTTAACAGTTCATACCATTTCATATGACAATACAATCCATCTTTACATCGAATCATACCATACTTAATCCCAGTGTTATCAGATGAAATCACACCCCCATCATATCATTAAAACCAATGCCAAAGTCACTTTAGGCCAAATTCTGAAAATTTTCACAGCTGTTTATTTGTCACTGTACAAAGGCAAATGCATCGAAATAGGTGAAAGCTAAGTATTACTTTTCATGCAGCTACACAAATTTTGTTCTCTTCACTGAAGTTTTGAAAAAAGGGATTTACACTTAGGTGGCTTTGGCATAGTGCAAACAATACAACAACATCCTCATATGAAAGAATACCGTATCAAAGATACAATACTATCATCATATAAAACCACACAATATTATATGTTATACAGCGTATCTCCACATGAAATCATACTATGTCATTTGACATCACGCTATAACTATCATAAAAAATATACAATAACAAATACCACTACATTATTACCAATACAATCAATCACTTACCAATAAAAATCACACTATACCATTTGACGCGACATTGCCATGATATTACCCAAACAATACACATTACTAGGACTTCCAGTCCAAATGGCCGAAAGTCGGCTAAACATTGAGACTATAAAAAGGTTCTAGGTTTTGCTGATGAAAATTCCCCACTTCTGGACAAGCAATCCAAAGGTTCTGTCATCCAGTTACTAAGTTGAGTGCTTGGCGGGACACTGTGAGCTGCAAAGTTGGAGTACATCTGCCTGACAACAGTCTGCATACAGATAAGTCAGATCTGTAAAACTGCTGTCACCACACTTTATAAGATGACACTGTGCTCCTGATGACACTGGTGTCATCACACTTTATAAGATGACACTGTGCTCCTGATGACACTGGTGTCATCACACTTTATTAAATGACACTGTGCCCCTGATGACACTGGTGTCATCACACTTTATTAAATGACACTGTGCCCCTGATGACACTGGTGTCATCACACTTTATTAAATGACACTGTGCTCCTGATGACACTGGTGTCATCACACTTTATTAGATGACACTGTGCTCCTGATGACACTGGTGTCGTCACACTTTATTAAATGACACTGTGCTCCTGATGACACTGGTGTCATCACACTTTATTAAATGACACTGTGCTCCTGATGACACTGGTGTCGTCACACTTTATTAAATGACACTGTGCTCCTGATGACACTGGTGTCATCACACTTTATTAAATGACACTGTGCTCCTGATGACACTGGTGTCATCACACTTTATTAAATGACACTGTGCCCCTGATGACACTGGTGTCATCACACTTTATTAAATGACACTGTGCTCCTGATGACACTGGTGTCATCACACTTTATTAAATGACACTGTGCTCCTGATGACACTGGTGTCATCACACTTTATTAGATGACACTGTGCTCCTGATGACACTGCTGTTGTCACACTTTATTAAATGACACTGTGCCCCTGATGACACTGCTGTTGTCACACTTTTTTAGATGACACTGTGCTGTCACCACACTTTAAAGGAGGACATTTTGCTCTTTTACATAATGCAATGCTATCTGATCAGACTACTCTATTTTATGACAATACACCAATTACATTAATGTCCCATGTCAGCAAGTCTATCAGACAATGACAATGTCACAAGTCAACACCGTCTGCACACTCTTTCAGATGACATTCTTATCATCTGACATGACTACCACACACCACAACATGCTATCAGATAACACTGTCATGTCAGCACACGTCATCCCATGACCCACACAACAAACTCCTCATGTTCACTTGGGCTACAATGTGTACTGGACAGAGCCATTCTGTTCCACAATGGCATGGGTGACCTCATGGGGGTCGGCAGCTTGGACGATAATGATTGTCTCCTCTCCTCCTTCAGTCTGTAAAGTGGTGTAAGTCTGGCCATCCAGCATGTGAGCAGCATCAGCTACCATGGCCTCGTATGTGCCATCGGAGACCTAGGAAAACATTCACAGGATTAAAACTTCTACAACACCCAGTAAATGAGAAATATGCTGCCCTCCTATGTTGAGTCCTACAACACCTAGTAATTTAGAAACAGGCTCCCATCTGATGTTGAGTCCTTCTATAACAACACCTAGTAATTTAGAAGAAAAATAACACTTCCTTCTGTTGCTGAGTGGTACAACACCCAGTAAGTGAGAAATATGCATGCCTGCCTATGTTGTCTTACAACACCTCGTAATTTAGAAACTGGCTACAATCTGATGTTGAGTCTTTCTAAAACACCACCCAGCAATTTAGAAGAAAAACACTTTCCTCCATTGTTGAGTGGTACAACACCCTGTAACTGAGAAATATGCTTCCCTCCTATGTTGAGTCCTACAACACGCAGAAATTTAGACATAGTTTATAACACCCAGCGATGGGCAGGTTGTGTTGTGGTTTACAGTTAGGCAGTGCTACCTGTGCCTTCTGGCCCAATCTTATTTCAGCAACCCCCTTATTGGTCGCATTTTACGACATGTTTGTTAGGGTGGGGAGGAGGGCAGTGGTTTTATTTTTCTTCATTCAAAATAGGGACTCAGAACCCATACAGAGATACATGATAGTGATGAAAGAGAGAGAGAGACAGAGAGAGAGAATGGGGAGACATAAGTGAGAGAGAGTTAGTGAGAGAAGGGTAGGGGAGGCAAAAACAGAAATAGCAAGAGAGTAGGAAATAAACAGAGAATTAGTGAGAAAAGGGTGAGATAAAGAGTTACTGGGGGTCAGAGAGAGAGAGAGAGAAAGCCATGCACACAGAACAAGTTAGCTCCTAGCAAGGCAAGCCTACACGTACCTGATACACCGTCGTTGTCGTCCCATCATCAGCATCATGATGCGACGAGCCTGAAGGAGCAATGGTTATGGAATGATGTGCATATTCATCATCATCATCCTCGCCTTCCTCAATCTTCCTGATGTAAGCTTGCATAGCCTTGGCCGATTCACCGTGGGCCACGTGAATCTTACCAATATGCTCCAGGAGCATCTTCTTGCGTTTAAAGGTCTCGTGGCACAAGTCACACAGGTATGGGGTCAACTTCTTGTGAACCTGGCATTTTTGTGAATGAAATTGTATTTTACTTCCATTCAGTAAGCAGAAATACGATTTAACGTGTTAGAAAAAAATACTATCAGGTTTTTATCTCACAAACATTGTGGGAATAGAATTGTGTCAAGATGCACTGTGGGAAATGCATCTTGTGTCAGACATATTGTCACAATTGCACTGTGTCGGATACATTGTGTGAACAGCACCCTGTGAAATACTGTGGGAGTTGCACCTTGTGTCGGAAACATTGTGGAAACTGCACCATGTGTCAAAGACTCTTTATGGGAATTGCAACCTGTGTCAGATATAGTTTGAAATATACCGTTTCAAATACATTGTGGGAAATATATCCTGTGTCAAATACACTGAGAACCAGCACCCCAAAAAAATGCCACTTTAGTCTGCTTCAATAAGTAAAGATCACACATCAGTTTATAAAACAGAATGCCAGCAGACATTGTATAACAACATCTTGTTAACGTTAAATTTGGGAGGACTGACTACCATGCACAAGTTTTATCCCACAATATGGCTCGATCTCTCTTCACAGAATGACCAGCCAACCGGCAAGAGTACTGCACAAACTCTGTAGCTCCAGCAACAATCCCAAGAATCTCTGTAAAAAAAAAACTGCACCTGTGAACTGAATGATACAGCCGTAAAACGAACCTACAACCTTCAGAGTGCAAGGCAAACAGCTTGACCACTTTGGCTCAAGACCCCTAAACACCTTGTGTTCATTCTTCTCCACTGCCTCCAGATTTCTAAGCCTTTCATTGTCCAGAAGGGGTTAGAAAGTGTTGAAATAACTTTCAGCTGACCGAGTCCTAGAGGGTTTAGCATCCCAGGCCCAAAGGGTAGTAAAAAGAGATGTAAAATCGGCGCATTTTGCGTTTACTGGGCTTCTAGGTAGGAACCTATGATGTGTTCCGAGGGACTCAAAGAGTTAATATTAACAACATGCAAGTAGTCCCTGCAAGGATGTATTAATCTGAGTAAGTGATTAGCACGCTTACTTTTTCAAAACACAGGCTCAGGACTTTTCGGTCCCATGGCATTTGTGTTAAGAAGGTTTCACTGTACTACTGTGTTCTTTTTTTCTTTCCTATTCAAACTAAGACCTATTTTGTTACTTAAAATTAACTCACCAACTGTATATGGGACATAAGATTGGATTTGTTGTTAAAGCATCTGCCACAGTCCGTACACTTGTGAGGCTTCTCTCCCGTATGAATGAGCATATGGCGATCCACATGGTACTTTTTGGTAAACCTCTTCTCGCACACCGAGCAGATGAATATCTTCTGGTTGGGGGATTTCCAGTTCTCATGCACCCGTTTGGTGTGGCCGATCAGCGACCCCAGCGTCTTGAAAGCTGCCTTGCAGGTGTTGCACAGATACTGCCTTGTGTGGAGATGCATGCCCTATACAAGAACAGATATACTTAGAACCAAATCAACAACATGCCAAGCAATCAACTATGCAATCTGTATGTGTCTTTTTTGTTCAAACTTACAACGGAGGAACACTGCTTTTATTTTCTGTTAAATGCCGTCAGTGTCAAATAAAATTAACAGGTTAAAATGTGAGTTCTTCATTGTTCATCCGAGCGACGTAAATGCATTGTGCCTGTTTATAGAACAGCTGCGATATTTTCCCATTTTGGCTGAAACATCTGACTTCTTTGGGTGTTGTTATCCGGTTAGCCATAGATTCGTAGGTCATTTCTAACCTCAGTAATGTCATGACTTCGACCCACAGTTGTTGTCCCTAGCGGACCGGTAGAGACCAGCCACATACAAGTAGGGCGACCCCTAAAGGAAAACATGGGCATTTCCTGCCATCCATCCAGTCTTTCATAAATGTAGAGCCGATGCATGGTGCTCCTGTACTGGGCTCACCCAAGGAATCATGATGTTCTGTACATGACATCTAAACCTCAGATCCGTATACTCAGCTTTCCACTCTACATAGGCTGCACCCTCAATGGATCCCCAGGAAGCAGTCTGCGGTACTGAGACTCTGATACCCTGCACAAATTGGCATCTCACTTTCTTACCATGTTAGACTTTTTTCTCTGACAATTGAATCTTTCACGTGAATGCCCTGGGCACTTTGGCGACATTTGTGGGAAGTAGGCATGGCTTCCATGTATGGTCATCACACTCCTGATGAGTGTGACCATTGGTAGTGGACGATTGAATCCTTTGTCTTAAAGCAGGTTTTTTTTTAAAGCTAGGGACATCTTAACCCTCGAGGTCATGCGGTAGGGCTTTCCATGAATGGACATTTAAACCTAAGGAGCCACATAGTAGGAGTTTTGGTCGATAGATGTTTCAACCATGGTTTATCATATAGCACTTTGGATGATAGATGCCAGCAGATTTCACTCATGTTCCTAATGCGTCTTCCATGTATATTATCGCCCATGCATAGGTAGTGAGCTGACGAGTGCCAGACGATTTCTGGGTAATGTTATCTCTGGGGGCCACCAACTCTGAGATCCCTTGCCAGCTCAGTTTAGGCTGATACGAACCATTTTCCACAGCGCATGACGAGGGATGTGGCAAGAAGATTTGTACAACCAGCGAAGAGGGCAGATAGGGACTATCTCCTTATAAACATTATCCTGGTCTTAACTTTCCATCATGGCTGTAAGTGAAACCATACCACCACATAACTGAGTTAATTCACCTAAAACTCTCCCTGTGGATTTCAGGGTCTCATGGGAGAGAGAATAGACCCCCCCCCCCATAATAATTATTAGGTGTTTTTTAATCTGCCTAAGGTATACAAAAAAAATTTTGTTTTTTAAACTCAGATTCTGGAACAAGACCAAAGTCCAGAAGTGGATGAACAACCAGAATTTTCCACCAGTTACAGCAGGGAAAGCTAACAAGAATGTAAAATGTTTTGCAAATTTTAGTTGATGAGTACAAAATGCAAACCAGTGGATACATTATTTTTGGTTTAGAGCATATTATAAAATGGTGAAGTGTATAGTAGTCGAATGTAGGCTCATTCACACACAACTCTACTATTTCTCTGGGCTCATTCACACACAACTCTACTATTTCTCTGGGCTCATTCACACACAACTCTACTATTTCTCTGGGCTCATTCACACACAACTCTACTATTTCTCAGGGCTCATTCACACACAACTCTACTATTTCTCTGGGCTCATTCACACACAACTCTACTATTTCTCTGGGCTCATTCACACACAACTCTACTATTTCTCAGACAGAAAGACTAGCGTGATACTATATCACTCCACACAAATACACAGGTGTTGTTAATTCCCTTAACAGCTCTGCAAGTGAGTGATAACGCTGTTCTTAGTTGATGAACCAGCCTCATCGTTGCCCTAAGTCTCCTTCTTTTTAGCATTCAACTGCTTTAAACTCCTGCGGAAAGTTCTGAACTTTAGTCTTGTCCCAGAGCTTGAATTTTACATGCAAATTTATTTTACTGATCTGATTTCTGTGCATACTGCTGGTTGCTCGCCTCTCAGGCAGAAGTGCTCCAACTTTAAAGGAAAAGTTCATAATAAGTCGCCTTTTATAGTAGGTGCTAACACCCACACCCCCCCCCCCCCAAAAACCAGACGAGGAGGGTGCCCTCAGTAAAAGGATGTTGCTGATAACAAACACTTGATTTCTTCAGGGAAACACTATGACATACCTTAATGTGGGTGTTGAGGTTTCCTCTGAATGCAGAGGCATAATCACAATGAGGACACCTGTAGGGCTTACGTCCTGAGTGCACGGTACGCATATGAGAGCTCATGCCAGTCTTCAAGACAATCTGCAGAGACATGGGAAAATGTCACAAATCAGCGGATTATAAGAGATAATATCTGGAGTGATATATGCATAATGTAGTGTGAACTGCATGATGTGGTCTACATTTTCTGCCAAGGAGAGGGTGTGTATTATCAATAGAAGCCCTAGCAGACAAAACCCCGCCATCTTTCTCTGTCTTCTGCTTGTTAAACAAATGTATAGTAATTTAGTCGTGTCCATTTCTTGATGTCATTTTAACGACTACCTGTGAGTGTTTCTTGAAGTATAATCTATGCAATCAGATCCATGTCTAAACCAAGCTAGCTTGCAAATTTTCACCAGTGCCAAAAAGAGGCTCCTGGTGTCCTGCAGATCTGTCAATCTTATCTCCTAAAACCAGAATCTGCCGTTCATTTCCCAGTGATAGTCCAACTCTCACAGCAGTTTAAGAAGATACGCGCTACCAGTGATGTGTATATACTGACCTTTACTGCAACACACACAGACACACATATATATATTTACACACACAGAGAAAATCATCATCAATCAGTGGATCCTGTAATAAACAGTACTCTCATCACTTCATGCCTAAAAGTCTCTCTGTCTCTAGCCAATTCTCCAGCCCTACATGCTTTCACAGCCGATGTATCTTCAATGTCTTGTCTCCATCTTCATGAAGGTCTACCAATGCATCATTCTCTAGAAGCTATCACAGTTCTCTCCAGGCCCCCACTGTCTAATGTGGCCAATTTCAGATTTTGGGACAGGATGCTGCTTATTAGCCTGTTTTCCTTGATGCTCAGATCCTGTAGGACAGGGCTCATCAACTGGAGGCCTGTGAGCTAAATCTGGGCCGCAAAAGCCCGGGATGATCACCAAGTTCACAATTTTGGCCCCTGAGTAAACCTAGCTGAACAGCCCTGCTGTAGGATGTCAATGTTTTGCTTCTTCTTGGTGTCAATGGTATTCTAAGAATCTTTCTGTAGCCTTTCACTTCAATGACCGAGTAAGTATATATATGAATGAGTGAATGAGAAAATTGTGCAAAATGTTGCTGTCCTTCTGCCCACATGCCTGGTATACCAGGGGGTCCTATAACTCTAAACTGTGCCCCAGAATCCACACGGGGACTTCACTGGTATCTGAAAGACCCTTTGCTTTCCTCTCTTATTTCACAGTTCTGACACAAGCAATAAACACTATTCACATTATTAATATCACACTTGTACCAACAGTGTACAAGGTTTAGAAAAATTAATTCTGGCCATCAAAAAAAAACAGCAAACAAGTGAATCCGCTTCTGAATTTTATTTTTACAAAAAAATTATGTCCTCAGTAAATACAACACACCAACCACGTATAGCAATCGAAAATGAAGAAATAGAAAATGTAACAGACTTTGAATACTTGGGCTTTTTAGTGAACAACAGTGGCGACTGCTCAAAAGAAGTCAGAAGAAGACTTGCATTGGCAATGCATAGATTAAATAAATAACATAAAGAACCTATGGCAAAGCACTAGTAAATTGGTTGAAGTAAAAATCATGCATTTTTCCTGTGGCAAACTACAGTTGTGAGTCTTGGACTCTCACTCAGTCACTGATGAAAAAGATTGGAGCTTTTGAAATGAAATGCTATAGAAAAATTCTTAACATGGATCAGGAAGAGGGAAAAACATCGACATTCTGAACGAGTGAACATCAAGGATAACTGGCTCATAAACAGCACCCTGTCCTGAAAGTTGAAGTATTTTGGCCACATCAAACGTCATGGTGGCTTGGAAAAGACAGTGATGGAAGGTGTAGTTTGTTGAAGGCGAGGCAGGGGTTCGACCAACGTGAAGATGGATACAAGACACTGAGGATGCATTGGCATTGAAAGCACACGGGGCTGGAGAGCTGGCTAGAGAAAGGGATACTTTCAGGCATGCCGTGAAGAGAGTGACTTTCTGTAAAGGACTTGCTGATTGATGATGAATATCACTAATCACAATATCATATTCAAACCAACACTGTGCTATCTCTTTCAAACCTAGACATTATCTTCTTCTTCTTCTTCAATTTCTCTTTTACCGCTGTGGGTGTCGAGGGAGATATAAGGTTCTGTTTCTAGCTCTTCTGGCTGCCTCGACCATAGGCACATCGTGCTGTTGTAGAGTTTCTCTGATGTTATCCTTCCATCTTGTTCTTGGTCTACCCTGTGCTCTACGTCCTTCTTCTCTTTCCATGTATGCTTTGTATGGTATGGTGTCACAAGGCATTCTCTCTAAGTGGGCAAACCATTTCACTTGCTGTCTTTGTATGTAATCCAGAATTGGTTCTGTGCCAACTTGTTCTCTTATGATCTCATTCCTGATCTTATCTTTATGGTCACTCCTACAGCCCTTCTCAGACATCTCATTTCCGTGGTTACTAATTTTCTTTTAGGGTTTGTTGTGAGACATTATCAAAGGCTAAATATCACTAATCACAATAATCATATTCATCCCAACACTGTGCTATCTCTTTCAAACCTAGACATTATCAAAGGCTAACCCACGTAACTTTAAACCTGTGAAATGAGATGCCTGAAAAAAGCTGCCAGCTTAACCTCTGTGACAAAGTTAGAAATGATACTATCAGAAATATTGTAGGAACAATACCATGCATTGAGAAACAGAGGATCAACTGGTTTGGCCATATTGTTAGAATGCAGCCACAAGTACCACCACAGGCACTACACATGAAAAGATATAGTGTGAAAGAGATCACAGCAGCCATCGCTACCCATCAAGCAACAGGTCACAAACTGTTCCTGTCCGTGACGCATGTCAGCAAAAGTAAAACTGGTGGTGATGATGACTTATCACAATGACTTACCTTGGAGCAAATAGGGCACGGCACCTGCATCCGGTTCTGCTGATGCAGTTCCATGTGTCTCTTCATATTCTTGGTGACTTTGCCACAGTCGCCACATGTGTCGCCCGCTTCATCTACACCTATGGTGGAGACCTGACATAGACAAGTAGTATTTTAATTAGGTAAAATAAAAACAAACAAGTAAGGTCCGGTTAAACGCCAGTGGCGTATCCGGCATATGATGCCAGACTCATATAATTAAACCGAACAGCCCTTGATTTGTGATGCAGTTAACATTATGCCGGCCACCTTTGCTTCTCATGACTTTACCTGGTGCCTATTTAAGGCTCGGTCAGCCTGGGAACCAGGGTCTTGTCTGGGGGAAAAAATCTGCTTCCGATAAATATTCTGATTATGATGTGATTTAAACTGAAAACGTCATAAAAGATAGTGATTATCATAGAATTATGAATGACGTTTTTTTTTTAAATATAATCATTGAGTTGCTACAGGAATTTTGACTCAAAAACAAGTGTGTGTTCTCAACCATCTACCCTGTTCCCAAGACTTGACCCCCTGTGATTATTTTCTATTCCCAAAATTAAAATTACAATCGAAAAGATGCTTCTTTGATGAGACTGATGACATCCAAATAGCCGTAACATCGACTTTAAGGGCCACACAAAAAAAGAAGAACTAAAGAGGTCGTTCCAGTGTTTGTTAGATCGTGCCACTCACTGTATCAATGCATTAGGGGCTTACTATGGATAAAATACAGGTTATATCTTCAACTGTTAATTATTTTAATTTTTATGGAATTAGTCTCATTACTTAACTGGCGGACCTTGTATCTCCATTCTTCTTTTCTCTAGACCCTGTTCTGCTTTTCAGCATCAGGTTTTAAAAAGGCACCTGGTCCAAGCCGTGGCTGATTTAGGCATCTCCTTGTGAGATTTAATTTTTCGTTATTTTGAAGCTCCAGCCAGGGGCCGCAATATAGCCCGACCATAAATATGGTCCAATGGATGAAAGCGGTTTCTGGGACCTCTCCACAGGTGATCCTTATCCACATGGTGGCACTTTGTGTCATCAGGCGTTAATCGTCTGTGTGATGTCCTAGTGGGGTAAAAATATACTATTACTACTACTACTAAGCCTTGTGCTATCTATGTAGATGCTGGTATTCACAGCCTCGGATATTCCATCTATCCATGCTTGTATGGGTGACCCCAAGCCCTGCTTTAAAAGAAATTCTATATCTTTATAATCCTATCTCTCCATTTAGATAACTTCAATTTTTTTTTAACGCTTTTCCTACCCGAGAATATGGGGGGGGGGGGGGGGGGGGGGCGCGCTTCTCTACCTTCATAATTCTATCTCTTTATTTAGAATATATCAGAATGGAGAATCTTCACCTGCTGATATGAAGGCAGACAGAGCTAATACAATCTTCTCCTGAATGCTGTGATTTTGAATCTTTACTCACATGATTCAGATATTTAGAATCACGGAAAACAAAAACAACAAATTTAGTCAAAAACACACCTCCCTGCATTCCTTATCCTCTCATAATTGAGAAGATAGAAAGAAAAAAAAAAAACAATTCAATAACAGTAAAACTCAACAGTCCGTACCTTCATAATCCTCTCTCTCCATTTAGCGTTCCTCATCTCTTCCTCATAGCTGTGTTCATCTCTGTGCTTGCCTTTGATGTGCTTCACCAGGCCTATAAAAGCTTTATCACAGAAAGGACACTTCAAAGCCTCCTCTGTATTGCGCCTGATAGACTTTCGCCTAGGTTCACCATCTTCAAACAGGCCATAATCCTCTTCAACTTTTCTTCTACGCTGCTGGAGTAATTCGTCGTCGTAATCGTCAAAATCCATAGCATCAATGCCAGCATCGTGATTCAGCGGACCAAACTTCTTCCGTTTTAAGCGAGGGTCAGTCTGCGTCTGCACAGAGCGCCGCGTGGCTGTTTCAAAGATGGTTTCTACTTCCACAAAATCGTCAAAATTTGGAGTTTGGGTAGAAATACAGTTATCGGCTGTGGAATTTTCCATGATCTCACCAACGACTTCCACCTGACTGACATCCATGTTACCTGAGTAATGGTCGCCTGAAGAAACAAGGTAAAAACAGAAAATGTAGGAACATGAGGTAAACAAACAAACTTTATTTTTAAAGGGTTAAGAATTGGGCACACAGTTTCTGTCTTAGATTAGACCCTCCCGGTCTCACTCTTGTCAAGCATTATTTCATTCATACATCTTTTTAATGTGTATAAAACAGCAGCTTAAAAACAGTAAGTAATTACAAATCCTGAAATCTGCTTGAATTAAATCTACATTATATATTAGATGTTAGCATTTATGTCCATATTCTGCTTTGTGTTACTAGGCATCACAGGCTAACTGACAACTGGTATCTGCTTGTTTGCCCGGTATGATGTGGAGACTTAAGGTTAGGTAGTGACTTCTTCAATCTATCTTCATCTTGGCTGTTCCCGACCTTCTTGGTGTGCATTCTCAGTGCCAGCATTACCGAATTCACTTTCATTAAATGGCCAAATCAGTTCAGTCTTTTGTTTCTCAATGAATTTAATTATAGGTGTTATTCCAAAAGTTCTTGTAATTTCTTCATTTCTCACAAGCTGTCTTCCAGTTTTGTTCAAGGTCTTTCTTAAACATACCATTTCACTCACAAGTGGTCAGATTTCTCTCATGTTCTTTAGTCAATATCCATGTCTGACATTGACAGCACAAGGCTGGTTTGTTCTTAGTAATAATTCTTAATCTTTTTATTCACTTCCTCTTTTACAGCTTTGGGTGTTCAAGATATAAGATTCAGCTTATTGCTCTTCAAGGCGCTTGATCGACACATTTTATATGATGTTGTAGAGTTCCTCTGATGTTATATGTCCAACTTGTTTTTGGTCTTAACTGTGCCAGTAGTCCTCTGATGTTATCTGTCATTTTTTTCTTGGTCTACCTTTTGCTATACGTCCCTCTCCTCTTTTGATGAATATCTTGTATGGTATGGCATCACAATTCATCCCAAGTGGGCAAATCATCTGATTTGCTGTGTTTGTAAGTAATTTAAAATTGGCTCTATGCAGATTTCTCTCTTATGACCTCATTGTTGATTTTCTCTCTTTTGGTCACTCTTGCAGCCCTTTCCAGACATCACATTTCCATAGTTACTAATTTAATCATTCTCAACAACTGTAGCAAATCTAGGGGAACTAAACCTTGGGTGCCCCCCCCCCTCCCCAAATGCTGAGACAGAAGAGGGCCATGTGGAGGAGGATCCAGAGTTTAATTTATGAAGAACACATAAACAATTTTTTTCCTATTAGTGACTACCTTTCCTGCTTTGAGACCTTCTTCTGCGTTCACCTTTAAAGGAGTGGCTGGCAGGTTGTGTTGTGGTTTACAGCTAGGCTGTGATATCTGCACTTTTCAGTCCAACACATCCTATATTAATCTTCCTTTACGACACGCTCGTTAAGCAGCAGTGAGCCTATTGGACCCCCCCCCCCCCCCCCAAATAAAAATGAAGCCTTAGGAAGAACATGACAACATGTGTGTTCTGACTCGGTGCACAGTGATAACAATTATGACAGAAAGCTGATGCTGTAATGTACACCGAAGAAACATTTCTTCTTCTTCTTTTACAATTCTGACCATAAACTCTGGCAAAACAAAGTTATTTAATCCCTTTATTCTATATCTTTATTTATATTCTTTTGTGTGGACTTAATTATGGATGGTCTAAGCCGCACTGGCTGCAATTCAAGGTGAAAGTTTGTAAAGTGTATTTATGTTGGAAGGCACCCAATGATGACTTTGACAAAAAAACAAGACCACAGGATAATAATGATGATTTCACGTGCAGTTAAATTATGCACAATTTAAAATCAAACTTGTCTTGGCCATGTGACCCAAAAATACAAACAGTTATAAATCACCAAGATCTGACCTGATCCCTGAGCCACTGAAACCATGTCAATAAAGTCCTCCTCCGCTTCTTCAAGTTCCTGCTTCACACGGCTACCCAGGGGAACAACTACGATCTGAACAAGTGAAAGATGGTGGTTAGCAGTGATCTATGAATGGTGTTTTTCATAAACAGATAAGGGGAACAACTACAGCTGAACAAGTGAAAGATGGTGGTTAGCAGTGATCTATGAATGGTGTTTTTCATAAACAGATAAGGGGAACAACTACAGCTGAACAAGTGAAAGATGGTGGTTAGCAGTGATCTATGAATGGTGTTTTTCACAAACAGATAAGGAGAACAACTACAGTCTGAACAGGTGAAAGATGGTGGTTAGCAGTGATCTATGAATGGTGTTTTTCATAAACAGATAAGGGGAACAACTACAGCTGAACAAGTGAAAGATGGTGGTTAGCAGCGATCTATGAATGGTGTTTTTCATAAACAGATAAGGGGAACAACTACAGTCTGAACAAGTGAAAGATGGTGGTTAGCAGTGATCTATGAATGGTGTTTTTCATAAACAGATAAGGAGAACAACTACAGCTGAACAAGTGAAAGATGGTGGTTAGCAGTGATCTATGAATGGTGTTTTTCATAAACAGATAAGGGGAACAACTACAGTCTGAACAAGTGAAAGATGGTGGTTAGCAGTGATCTATGAATGGTGCCTTATGCAAGACAGCAGTTGGTTGGGACACACCTGGAGAATGAAGGACATCCTCTATGTGAATTAAAGATGGGTAGAAGATGTTGAGGCCGACATCTACCCTGATATAAAGATGTATGCAAATGAATGATAAAGGTAATGAGGTGGACTCGAAACAAAATACCATGGACCCTGTTGTTTGGAGGGGGCACATCAGGGAATGAGAATGAAGGAAGCTATGACTGTGGAAAGATAAGCTGTGCTGAGGAGAAACTGACTAAATAAAAATGCTGATAACAACGGCCCTGAAATCGTGTGCAATAATTGTGGAATATTCTTCTTAACTCAGGCATGTCTTGCTAGTCACACCTGCCATTACAGTGCGCTGTGAGCCCCAGGCCTCCTCATAACGCAAAATGACACTATCATCTGGAAAGAGGGAAAAATGCCAATCTTTTTTTTAAACAAATGCAAAATGGGAGCTAGAGGTGATTTACAAAGTGTCTTTTGCAAAACACGTGACTGGTTGGGGGGGGGGGGGGGGTAGTGATACCTGAACAAGTAAAAGATGGATAGTTAAGGAGCGAAAATTTATGTCCTTTACATAATTAAACAGACTAGTAAATGAGGGGTAAGAACAAAGGTTTCTCACTTTACCTAATTACACCGGTAAATAAGGAGTGAGATTACAAGTTCTTTATCTAATTAGACTATTAAAATAAGGAGAAAAAGCTTACCTCAGACTGAGATCTAGGCCGTCTGTGTTCTGAAAGAGAATACACTATCTGCCTTGACTTTTTTCTCTCACTCCCAGGTGGAACATATTCCTCAACATCATCTTCCTCCTCTTCTTCTTCATAATATTCATCGTCGTCATCATCGTCCTCCTCTTCTTCTTCATTTTCCTCCTCCTCTTCTTCTTCATTCTCCTCTTCCTCTTCTACTTCTTTTTTTGCAACCTTGAGTTTTCTTTTGCTAACACTGGTTGTTGCTAATATAGTGGCCGATTTAGTAGGACGGCCTCTTCGCCTGGGTCGAGTGATGGGTTCTTCGACTTCTTCATCACTTTCATCTGTCTCCATCTCTTTATCTGATTCCTGTCTAGGATTTCTAACCACTGCTCTCTTATTAATACGACCTAACGCAGGAGTCACTGATTTTGGAGGGCGGCCTCTTCGGGTGGGTGTTGCCTTAGGACTCTTGACCGATTCTTCTTTAACTGTCCTTTTCTGCCGGGTTTCTTTCTGAGGACTATCCTTAGATTTGCCAGGCGAATGCAAAATTGCATTAGGTATTTCTTTAACGGTGGGCTCAGTAGACTGTCTTTTTGTTCTTTTATCTCTGTCTTCCTCCTGATCTTCAGTTTCTTTTATCTTTCTTGTTCTTCCTCTTCCTTTTGCGACCTCTGTATCAATCTCTTCTTTTTTCTCAGAAGCTTTTTTTGTGGGACTAGATACTTCATTTCTTTTTCTCTTTGCATGAGGAGTTTTTACTTCTTCTGCATCACCTCTACGTTTTCGCTTTTCTTCCACAGTGACAGTTTTTGAATTATCTGTTTTGTTTTGAACCGGGGATTCTTCACTGTATCTCTGCGGTGGCTTTGACCGTCTAGCACCCAAAATTCTCTCTTTGGTGTCATCCTCGGCGGATTCATCTTCACTGGCAGCCATTTTAGCTGCAATTCTGGGGGATCGGTTTCTTGATGATGCAGAAGTGACCTCTTTTTTAATGTCTTTTGAGGAATCGCTCTCCTTCTTTCGAGATAAAGTGATTCCATTTACCACAGTAGTGGAATCATTGGATTTTGGCGGCCTTCCTTTCCGTCTTGCTGAAACTTGAAGAACTTCTTCATCAGATGCGTTCGCAGTTTCTTTCTCCTGCACACTGCTCTCTTTCTCAAACTCCTCATCAAACCCAAAGGACATTTCAGCGGCTTTTCGCACTGCTGCCAATTTCTCAGGTGATCTTATAGGCCTCTTGGCTCTGGATGTTGTCGTAACTTCTACATCTTCATCCTCTTGTTCTAGATCTTTTAAAGTCTGATCTTCGTGAACAAATCCTGGCAACTGCATAACATCCGGAACATCTGACGTTAGTCCTCTGTCGTCTGTATTTTTTTCAGCCTCCTTGTTCGCAAGCTCTTGCGTCTGTTCAGTTTCGGGGCTTCTTTCCTCAAAATTCTCCTCTTCATCCTTATATTCCTGATCTTCCATATTAATAATCCTAGACTCTCCTTCAGGACCGCAAGAGAGAACCTGTAACAGCAACAAGAAAAAAAGTTGTCAACAAGTAGCAATGAATAAATGCTATAAAAATCTTCTTCAGCTGTAAAACAAGGCAGAAAGACCTAGTGTTCATCCACTTCCGGGCTTTGGCCTCGTCCCAAGACTTGAGCTTTGTGTATACATAAGTTTTTCACATCTGGCTTAATTTTGTGCAGAATACTGGTTCCTTGTTTATAATTTCTATCTTGGCCTCGAAAGCGACAAGTCACCAATCTGTTAGTGTCATTAGTGTCCGAGATTCATCATTATCCACTAACCTATTCCTTATAGCACTGCTGTCTGCTGTCCATGCTTTTGCCCATATGCTTTGGGGCACTGCTTGCCAGTCGGTCCACTCCTCTGTCCCCTTTCACACCGGCATTACCAGGTGTATAGATCCAAGTGACAGAAGTTAAGTGCGATTTGTGGATACCTTCAACACATTCAGAGTGTACGCTACCTGTTGCAATTATCTGGAGCGTCTTCACATTCTAATATAAATACTGCATGTGTGACTGCTTGTTCTGCTACCCAACGATTATCTCCATGGTCATACTTGGTGTAGTTGCTTGAAAAGTGCCACTATCCACTTTTATTGTTTTCCCGTCCTGCGAGCTGTGTATATGTCCATGGTGACCTTGACCTTCACAGACCATCTGTGTAAATGTAACATGAGAAGACATTGCTGTAATGAAGGTAACACTAGAAGACATTGCTATAATGAAGGTAACACTAGAAGGCATTGCTATAATGAAGGTAACACTAGAAGACATTGCTATAATGAAGGTAACACTAGAAGACATTGCTATAATGAAGGTAACACTAAAAGACATTGCTATAATGAAGGTAACACTAGAAGGCATTGCTATAATGAAGGTAACACTAGAAGGCATGGCTATAATGAAGGTAACACTAGAAGGCATTGCTATAATGAAGGTAACACTAGAAGACATTGCTATAATGAAGGTAACACTAAAAGACATTGCTATAATGAAGGTAACACTAGAAGACATTGCTATAACGAAGGTAACACTAGAAGACATTGCTATAATGAAGGTAACACTAGAAGACATTGCTATAATGAAGGTAACACTAGAAGACATTGCTATAATGAAGGTAACACTAGAAGACATTGCTATAACGAAGGTAACACTAGAAGACATTGCTATAATGAAGGTAACACTAGAAGACATTGCTATAATGAAGGTAACACTAGAAGACATTGCTATAATGAAGGTAACACTAGAAGACATTGCTATAATGAAGGTAACACTAGAAGACATTGCTATAATGAAGGTAACACTAGAAGGCATTGCTATAATGAAGGTAACACTAGAAGACATTGCTATAATGAAGGCAACACTAGAAGACATTGCTATAATGAAGGTAACACTAGAAGACATTGCTATAATGAAGGTAACACTAAAAGACATTGCTATAATGAAGGTAACACTAAAAGACATTGCTATAATGAAGGTAACACTAGAAGGCATTGCTATAATGAAGGTAACACTAGAAGGCATTGCTATAATGAAGGTAACACTAAAAGACATTGCTATAACGAAGGTAACACTAGAAGACATTGCTATAATAAAGGTAACACTAGAAGGCATTGCTATAATGAAGGTAACACTAGAAGACATTGCTATAATGAAGGTAACACTAGAAGACATTGCTATAATGAAGGTAACACTAGAAGACATTGCTATAATGAAGGTAACACTAGAAGACATTGCTATAATGAAGGTAACACTAGAAGACATTGCTATAATGAAGGTAACACTAGAAGACATTGCTATAATGAAGGTAACACTAGATGACATGGCTATAATGAAGGTAACACTAGAAGACATTGCTATAATGAAGGTAACACTAGATGACATGGCTATAATGAAGGCAACACTAGAAGGCATTGCTATAATGAAGGTAACACTAGAAGACATTGCTATAATGAAGGTAACACTAGATGACATGGCTATAATGAAGGCAACACTAGAAGGCATTGCTATAATGAAGGTAACACTAGAAGACATTGCTATAATGAAGGTAACACTAGAAGGCATTGCTATAATGAAGGTAACACTAGAAGACATTGCTATAATGAAGGTAACACTAGATGACATTGCTATAATGAAGGTAACACTAGAAGGCATTGCTATAATGAAGGTAACACTAGAAGGCATTGCTATAATGAAGGTAACACTAGAAGACATTGCTATAATGAAGGCAACACTAGAAGGCATTGCTATAATGAAGGTAACACTAGAAGACATTGCTATAATGAAGGTAACACTAGAAGGCATTGCTATAATGAAGGTAACACTAGAAGACATTGCTATAATGAAGGTAACACTAGAAGGCATTGCTATAATGAAGGTAACACTAGAAGACATTGCTATAATGAAGGTAACACTAGAAGACATTGCTATAATGAAGGTAACACTAGATGACATGGCTATAATGAAGGTAACACTAGAAGGCATTGCTATAATGAAGGTAACACTAGAAGACATTGCTATAATAAAGGTAACACTAGAAGGCATTGCTACAATGAAGGTAACACTAGAAGGCATTGCTATAATGAAGGTAACACTAGATGACATTGCTATAATGAAGGTAACACTAGAAGGCATTGCTATAATGAAGGTAACACTAGAAGACATTGCTATAATGAAGGTAACACTAGAAGACATTGCTATAATGAAGGTAACACTAGAAGACATTGCTATAATGAAGGTAACACTAGAAGACATGGCTATAATGAAGGTAACACTAGAAGGCATTGCTATAATGAAGGTAACACTAGAAGACATTGCTATAATGAAGGTAACACTAGAAGGCATTGCTACAATGAAGGTAACACTAGAAGGCATTGCTATAATGAAGGTAACACTAGAAGACATTGCTATAATGAAGGTAACACTAGATGACATTGCTATAATGAAGGTAACACTAGATGACATGGCTATAATGAAGGTAACACTAGAAGGCATTGCTATAATGAAGGTAACACTAGAAGACATTGCTATAATGAAGGTAACACTAGATGACATTGCTATAATGAAGGTAACACTAGAAGACATGGCTATAATGAAGGTAACACTAGAAGGCATGGCTATAATGAAGGTAACACTAGAAGACATTGCTATAATGAAGGTAACACTAGAAGACATGGCTATAATGAAGGTAACACTAGAAGACATTGCTATAATGAAGGTAACACTAGAAGGCATTGCTATAATGAAGGTAACACTAGAAGACATTGCTATAATGAAGGTAACACTAGAAGACATGGCTTTAATGAAGGTAACACTAGAAGACATGGCTATAATGAAGGTAACACTAGAAGGCATTGCTATAATGAAGGTAACACTAGAAGACATGGCTTTAATGAAGGTGAAACTCATGAAATAAATATACAAATACACAAGTCCACTGATTTGAAGTATCTTACACCTCAGTTACTAAAGTCTTTGAGGGAAACAAAGAATATGATGATGTTCATCCATCACAGGTGAAGATGACCAGTCCTTTCCATCTGCTAGGAAGAAGGATGTTCATAGATGGTTGATATGGTTAATCTATGCAGGGACAGTTTGTGCAGTGTGAGCAGAGGATCTGGGCACCACAGCAATTTACAGATTCGTCTTTTTCTGGTCTGCATTTTTTTTTTTGAAAATTATAAATACAATCTTTATACCGACATTAGGTTATCAATGTCAGACTTGGACATTAACAAAAGAACACGAGAGAAGACTAACCACCTGTGAAATTAGATGTTTGAGAATGGCTGCGTATAAAACGAGAAGAGATCGAGTGAGAAACGATGTGATTACAAGAACTATTGGAACCATACTCATCGTTAAATTTATTGAGAAGCAAAGAATGAAATGGTTTGGTCACCTAATGAGAATGGAACCAACAATGCCAGCATCAAGAGCATACAACATGAAAATCGAAACAACAAGAGGCAGGGGAAGACCAAGAAGAAGATGGATTGAAGGAGTCACGGACAACTTGAGACTTCATAACATCACGGCATATGAAGCGACTGAGCGCGCCCTGGCTCGGTTGCCGATCATCTGATAGACTGCGAGGCCTAGCGGCACAAGCAGATTTTGACAAAAGAAAGAAGAAGATTTTTTTTTTAACTGCTGCTGCTATTTTGGCATTTCAAATAATGGTCTTCTTCTTCTTCACTTCCTCTTTTACCGCTGTGGGTGTCGAGGGAGACATAAGGTTCTGTTTCTAGCTCTTCTGGCTGCCTCGACCATAGGCACATTGTGCTGTTGTAGAGTTTCTCTGATGTTATCTTTCCATATTGTTCTTGGTCTACCCCGTGCTCTACGTCCTTCTTCTCTTTCCATGTATGCTTTGTATGGTATGGTGTCACAAGGCATTCTCTCCAAGTGGGCAAACCATTTCACTTGCTGTCTTTGTATGTAATCCAGAATTGGTTCTGTGCCGACTTGTTCTCTTATGATCTCATTCCTGATCTTATCTCTTATGGTCACTCCTACAGCCCTTCTCAGACATCTCATTTCTGTGGTTACTAATTTTCTTTTATGGTTTCTTGTGAGTGACCATGTCTGGCACTGGTAGCACAGAGTTGGAATAAATATGCTTTGAATAAGATGTCTCTTTGTGCTGATTGGGATTGTCTTAAGCTGTAAGAGGGGGGCTAGCTGTCCCAATACTTGGTTTGCTTTACTGCATCTAATGTCAATTTCTTTATCCAATTTCCCATCTTCGGTAAATGTAGTTCCCAGATATTTAAACTCAGATGCCTGTTTAATGCCTTTGTATTCTATTGCTATGTTTAGATCTGTCTTCTTTTTTCCTATTGACATTACTTCTGTCTTTTCAGTGTTGATTCTCACATTATTTGTTTTACATTCTTCATTCATGGATGTTAGATGTTGTTGCAATTTCAAATTTCAAATGCTGGTGCTCCCCAAAAATGTGATCAGCACAAGGATGAACAGTCACGTGCAGCCAGCTCCCTTATGTCTGGCTCAAATCTTCAATTACAATCTTGAGACCGTCCTTGGGGACATTTTTTTGTCAGCCTAGGTAGTGTTGTTCTCCTATAGGCAGCCATAAAAGTTGATGCTCTTACCCGCAGAGTATACAACCTGTCAAGCCTTATTGGAAATTGATGTAATCTATCATGCATGTCATAAAAGGCAACTAAAGAGATCTGACACGAGATAGGCTGCCTCACGCCAAATAAAACATTTGTTTCTCTATCTTGGCTTTCACCCTCTGTAAACTCAGGCAGAATGTTCTGGTTGTTATTCCACATCTGGACTTAAGTCTTGTTCCAGAATTTAAATGTTGTAAGCACATCCGTTTTACAGATTTGGCGTATTTGTATGCAGGCGGTTGGTTCCTTGCCTCTCAGGTAGATGCCCTATGACTTTGAAGAAAGTATCCAACAATTATGAACATGTTTATAAAGAGCTTCTCGTGAGCTGATTAAAAACTTATACTCTGGTGGCTAGAAAGATGAAGAGAAGATAGACCTCAATTACAAAGCAGGATGGTTCTAGATTCGACTTCATATTTTTTAGTTTTACTATGTGTTTCAAAACAGACGATTTAACCATTAAAAAAAAAGCAGTGAAATACGACAAGTTAATGTTTTCAACAAGGTCATTTAACACCTGCCTCTCCCGGTTGCAGTTTAATCAACTGGCCAGATTCCATGTCCGGGGCTTCATCATTAGCTAGGTCCATTTCTGAAGAAGAAGAAAAATGTATTCAAGTAATAGCTCACACTTAAGTGCTGTGTAAAAAGGTATCAACCCTCATTAGTTTTAACCCACAGTAACAACTCTAACACAGGAAGTGTCCCCTTCTGGGAAAGATGCAATGTAGGAGACTTTCAGAAGCATGTGTGAATTTTATTCTGGCTCACAGACAGCATCAGCAGTTAGTCTAAGCACCTGCTAGTGTTTACATACACAATTTGTAGTTGTGTTATTTACAAACCACTAAGAAGTGTTTAATAATAAAACAGAACAAGTCATTATCCTCCGCCTCAGAACAGGGCACAACCGATTACGTAACCACATGCACACAAAATTCAAGATAGGCGTATCAGCCAAGTGCACCTGTGGAAAGGTGCCCCAGACAGCAGAGCATGTACTCCAGGACTGCACCGAATTTGACACATTAAGGCAGACCTTTTGGCCAGAAAGAACAACAGTGGAACGTAAACTCTATGGACCATTGTTCGAATTAACAACAACAGTGAAATTTATACAAGAGACAAAATTGCTGATATAGACAACTTATTTCAGGCGAACGAAAGAAGAAGATAATAAAACCTGTTATCCCTGAATTATAAACCAGAAAGTTGAATTTCTCAGCTTTCACCAGCTTAAACTCCAGTGAAAGCCCTGGTTGTTCATCCACTTTTGGACTTTGGTCTTGTTCCAGAACTGAAGGAAACACTAGCATCCTGTTTCTCTCTGTGGGTTCCGAGGAAAACATGAATAGATCCACTGCCTTCCCAACAAGCATGTTGTAAGAGTCAACTAATTAGGGGTTTCTTTCGAAAGGCAGGGTACATCTGCCAGACAGGCAAGGAACCAACAGTCTGCATACAAAGTCAGATCTGTAAAACAAATGTGCACACAACACTCAGGTTCTGGAACAAGTACAAAAGTGAATGAATAACCAGAACTGGAGTTTACAGATGGCGAACGTGAAGAAGAAATTGTATCCTATAAAATGCTTGCTGGGGGCAATTTTTTTTTTTTTTTTTTAATCGATCACCGGCTGTGAATTCCAGTGGAAGGTCCCAGTTAATCGTCCGCTTGGACTTTTGGCTTTCACCTGGACCTGATTTTTGCGTGTACAACCGTTTTTCATTTCCCTGCCTCATGGGCAGCTGTACTCCGACTTCGAAGGGAGCTGGGGGCAATGAGTCTGTTCCTTGTTCTCCAATATGGATCTCCGGAAACCACAAACAGTTTGTTGAGCCTGAAGTCCTTGATCTCTTGTACCATGGTCTAAAAGCAAATTTCTAAACCAATCACACCAGATAATCAAACCTCGCTACTCAAGGCATATCTTCTTCTTCCTTGCATTCACTGGCTGTAAACTCCAACTGACAGTTCAGGTTGTTCATCCACCTCCAGATTTTAGTCTTCTTCCGGAACCTCAGTGTTGTATGCACAACCATTCTACAGGTCTCGGTTATTTGTATGCAGACTGTTGGTTCCTTCCCTCAGGCAGATGCACTCTAAATTCAAAGGATGCCCTCAGTTAGTCAACTCCCACGTTGTGCTGGGGGGGGGGGGGGGGGGGACGACTCGAGACGCAATACGCATTCCACCACCTCTTAGCCCCAGGCTGTATATGTTACAAGAAGACTGCTGCTATTTCATTACTTCTTTAAGCACATTTTATCATCAAAGAATTGGTGAACAATGAACTTGTTTACAATACTGCAATGAATCAATATCCACTCAAATAGAGGCTATTTTCTGAATAAGGGTACCAAATTATCAAGGCCGAAAATATACCCTAACAGGGCCTGAGTCACATGTAAATTGCGGACTTTCGCCACCGCCGAGAGTATCTCCCATTGGGGCTTAACTAGACGGCTGGGACTCATGAGCAAATAAAATGAAGGAAGCTGCAGGAGATGCTGTAGCTGCTGCTCGTGAGTCCCAGCCATCTAGTTTAGTCCTGATCCATGCTGCGCATAGCGGCATGAGAGATACTCACGGCAGTGGCGATAATAGCAATTTGAGTCGCAGGAAGTCCGCAATTTACATGTGACTGAGGCCCTGTTAGGGTATATTTTCGGCCTTGATAATTTGGGACGGTTTAGCCCAAATAATTATTCAGAATTTTTTGCTCTTCATCTCTCAATCAAGTACAGACCCTTAAAAAAAACTAGTGCCAAGTCATCCTATCTATCTCCATTTTTTTTTAATTCCTTTAGATATGTGGCTTTTTCCCCTCAATCTGTCCTGTTCCACTCTTACAGCTTCTTCTTCTTCTTATCTAGTCCTATTCTGCTTTTAGCAAGACCCATCAACATTAAGAAAACTGCTGCATTTAATAAAATATAAAACATTAAGAAAGAAAATGTGTTTTTTAGCTGAAATAAATAAAGAAATATATCAGAAAGATTATCAAAATACCAAGAACCAAGAAGAAAAGAAATACTGACATCCTAAAAAACAAAAAAATATCTGTGTACAATCAAGGAAGACAGGCTCATAAATTATAAATAGCATCTTGTCTCAGATAATGAAATATTTTGGCCATAACAGCACCTCGATTGACTGGCAAGTAAAGAACAGTAGCAAAGGACCGTTAGGAAAGAGTAGTAATAGTAATAATAACAGTAGTACTAGTAGTAACATGTTGCAGTGTCACTGTTACATGTTACTTACATGCAGTTTGGTTTTGTATTTTGAACCCCCCCCCCCCCCCCCCCCCACTTCTTTTCCAAATTATTTAAATAAATAAATATCATGAAGACAACAAGCTCTAACTGGTTGTTTTCTTTTCTTTAAATATGCATACAGACCTATAACTAAAGCATATTTAGTATAATAAAAGTATAGTAGGATTAACTAGAGTAACTAGCAGAAGACTCACTGGTGATGAAGTGGAAAATAAGAGAAAGAAGCAGCCAGCAGCAGGGAAGAAAAGGAGGAAAAAGAAGCAAGCAACGGCAGAAGAAGGAAGATTAAAATAAAGAAGACGCAGCAAAAGCCTTCAGTTCAAGCGCTAAAACAGTTCTGACCATTTCAGTTTTGTCCCACACTGAACACGACTCATTTAGGTTGCCAGAAATTGAGATCGCCTCCTGTCGGCCATCTTTCTTTTAACACTCAGGTCACTGATCACTGCACCATTCCTATACTTTTGTTTGCCATAAATTCATAAAAACATGACTGTAAAACTCGACTAGTTTCATACAGATATATTTAACCGAACACACTCAGTATCGTAAATGTAAGCTCATATGTTCGGAAGCGTTAACACAACGCGAACACTCGTTTACGGTGCATTTTAATAATTTTATTATTTGAAAGTTTTCCCTGGCGCCATGTTTGTTATTTGTTGTCGAATCGAAGACAACTTCGGGGAAGATGGTTTAAAGTTATCGCCCGTTACACACGTGCATACAACTGTAAACAACACATCTGAAGTATGTTTCATCTATAAACATCTTCTAGATTCAAGATACTTACATAAGACAGCGATATTTGGGCGTTTTTTGTTCAATTCGGAGTGCAAAGCTAGTTCTACCACGCCAGATCTTCGGCTTGGCCTTCCTTCTTGCCAGCCGGTGTTAGCCAGGACCTCCTCTGGTGGAGAACAAATGTGGAACTTCCGTGCGAAACTCACACCGAGTTGGTCGGTAAAAATGATTATCTTGTCAGTATAGCCATAAGGTAACCATTGTATATGAAAACCGATAAACTACAACAAAAATAATCGTTATTTCTCTCATCCCAGTGATTAACTGACTTTCTGTGTGATTTTTTCGTTGGTTTTAATAAATTCTGTGATAAATGATTTTGGTCGAAACGTTCATGTATATCTTGTATATATGTCTCCGTTCTTTTCTTTCCCTTCGTTGAGCTAATTAAAATAAGAAAATATTGTGGGCGGGGAAGTCCTAATTCTCCCCCCCCCCCCCCTAACCCTACCCCGCCTAACAAATTTTCTAACACAAAAAAAATGGTGGTGGGGAAGGCTGTTTTTCTTTTTACCTAAATTATGAAAGCAATCAATTGGGGGAGGGGGGGGGGTTGCGCTCACACCCTTATCACCACCTAGGAATGGTTGGGGAGGGGTGGGGTTCAAGTGTTCCACAGGTTCAAACACCTATGTTAATTTGTTATATATTGTGATTTAGACAATAAAATGCAGCTGTCGAGAAAGGCTTATGGAGCATGAACCCTGCTGCAGTCAATGAGCTCCAGCATCTCGGCTGTCAAATCATTAATCTTTTCATCTTCTTCTTCACTCTACTCCTGGAATGCCTCACAGCGCCAGGGCAGGAAGATATCTCAGGAACTGGCCCTTCTGTTTGTTTCATGTATAGTACTTTTTAGTCTCTCCGATATTTCTGTGATCTATGTGGTCCCCCTCTGAACTGTTACCACTTATCTGTATACAAGTGCTCTCTGTAATGCCATGTCTGTTGCCAATCATATTACAAGACCAACCCATTTAATTTGTTATCTACCAATAAAGATCAATATCGCTTCTTTCATCAGTACTCTTCTCCTGATATCATTGTTCCTTAGTCAGTCTTTCCATGTTACACCAAGCATACGTAACTGCAATTCATTTCTGTCACGACAATTTGTCTTCTGTCTTCTGAAGACAATGTCCACGTTTCACACTGATAGCACATCGTTGGTAAGAATAGTAGGTTAAACAGTGCTCTTTTAGTGTTCATATTCACGTAGCATCACTTCAGTATTGTGTCACTTGTCTTATAACTTGATCAGTTTTATTGAATCTTTAACATGAATGCACAAATTTAAAGAGGGACATAATTTAAATGACCTGCTGACAATCCGCGTTACTCGCCCTGGTTGTGGGTAAAACCACGTCCGACTTTAGCTATTCGCTGGAGAAGGTGATCGTAAAACCAACACTGTGTATGCGACATACCATTTTACTGTCTACAGACCCCCCCCCCCCCCCCCCCCCCCAACGAAGCCTTAGCTATGTGTATATTGGATATGCTC